CCCCTCCGGCTGCCTCACTGCCCTTGGGACTTTCTCCCCAGTGCCCGAGAGTCACCCTCCAGCCCCTCTCTTCTTCCCGATATCCTCAATGACTCATCATGGATGCCATCATTCCTCAAACGCTGTCCCTCTGCCAAGAACCTCCCTTTTCCACCTGCCCAGCCCACCACCCTGTGCTCTGTGCTCAGCTCAGACGGCACCTCCTCCCTGACACCTTCCCTGTTCCCTCTGCAGGGGCTCCCCCCCCCAATGCCCCATCTCCTGGCTCTCACAGCACCCTGAACTGACCTCGACCATGCCACTCTGCTCTGAAAATGTCTGTCCACCTGTCATCCCTGACCACTTCAGGACCCCCTGAAGGGAGGGATTCACTTCTTTGTCTTTGCCTCTCAAGCACCTGCCGCAGGGCTGGACAAATAGTAGCTACTCAAAGGATGTCGTGGAGGGCAGAGAGGTGGGCGCAAGGGAGATGGGCAGGGAGAAGGCGTACAGAAAGCGATTGGGACGGGGCAGCAGGGATAACAGGCCCTAGGCAGGGGGTAGAGGCAGAGGGCAGGTAGGGAGGGAGCGAGGAGGCAAACGTTTACTTACAGCAAATTCCAAACATCATATCACTTCACTCATAAATATTTCAGTATATCTCCAACGGGTAAGGAATAGGATTCTTACTTAAAAACAAACAAACAAGCTGTAGCCGCAGTACCATTATACGTTTGCGGGAAGAAAAAGTATACAGACATGTTTTGTTTTTTTTTTTTAATTTTTTAATGTTTTATTTATTTCTAGGAGAGAGAGAGAGAGAGACAGTGTGAGCAGGGGAGGGTCAGAGAGAGGGAGTCACAGACTGAAACAGGCTCCAGGCTCCGAGCTGGCAGTCAGCACAGAGCCCGACGCGGGACTCGAACCCACGAACCGCGAGATCATGACCTAAGCGAAAGTCGGACGCTTAACCGACTAAGCCACCCAGGCACCCCAACAGACATGTTTTTTAGTAAGAGTAAAGACTGAAAGGAAGTCCCCACCAGGATGCCTGACTCCTCTGAGTGACACGAGTGGGCAACGTGTCCAATGGAGAGGCAGCGGTCAGTAAACGTGGTGTAGAAGGAACGTGGTTGTGCGTGCTTGCTGGGGTGAGGGCCTCGAAGGAAGGCCTCTGGGGACCACTCGGAGCCGACACGCCGTGTCATCGTTGTCTTATCACGGTCTGCTGACTCTGGTGGCGTCCTTCTCCCCTGGGCCCGGGCCATGGCCGGGGACAGAACCAGGTCTGCGGGGCGTCCCTGGCCCTGAAGACCGTCGTCCCTGCTCACAAGCCGCACGGCATTGGCTCTAAGACACTGTGGAGTGTGAAGAGAAAAAAATGTCACCTGAGCCCTGGCACGGTCATCAGCTGTAAGAGCCACCCCAGTATCAGAGGGGGTCAAAGTGGGAAGGGGGAGGGGAGCTCACAGTCAGGGAAACACAGTGCGATATCAGGGCAGGTTGGGGGGGCTCAGCCTTGAACTGGAGCGGGGAGGCAGTCTGGAGGCCGTTGGCGTTGGACAGACAGTCAACAAGCCTCTCCTCCCTGTCCCACCAGAGGGTAGGCCCCGGCGAGGGGGGGGAGGTCCCCCAGAGCTCCGGGTCCACCCTAGCTGGGTAGAGGCATCCTTGAAGCCCAGCGAGCGTGAGAGGCACCATGAGTTTAGAGCCCCCCACTTCCACGCACGGGAGGGACGGTGGGGAGGTGACCCAAGAGGAGGTACACTGAGCAGGGTGCACAGGGCTCAGTGAATGCCAGTCATTTTGCCAGTGTTCTTCGTGATGTTCCCATCACCATGCAGGACGACGGTATAGGTCACACTGACACAGTCCACTCAGCTGGCAAATACCCTGAGGAGCTGTCACCGGGGCAGAGGCCTTCGAAGGGGAGCAGGGATCAGCCGCTCTGTCTCCTCCCGTGTGCGGGCACATCCAGACCTCACACCCTGTCCCACCCCCGTGCCCGGTCCCTTCTGGCAGGCTGCTTCCCGCTTTGTGAGGGCGATCGTGGCCTCCCCCTGGACCGCCAGCTTGCTGAGGGCAGGACCCGGTTGCTTTTGCTCCCCAGAATCTCCCCAGCACCCGGATGACCATGTGCACCGAGTATGTTCAAGAGGCACATAAGGTCGTGGTGAAGGGTGTGGATTTGGTAACCAGACCTCTCTGGTTTGAATCTCTGCTCTGCAGTGTGGAAGCTGTGTGACCATGGGCAAGTCACTGACCTCTCTGTGCTCCTCAGTTTATTCATCCTCTGTCTTAAGGATTGTGGTGAGAGGTTCATGTGAAGGGCCAAGTCCCATGATTGGTGCTTGCTGAGTGTCCGGTGAGCGCGCTGGTGGCGATGGGTGTCATCGTCATCTGTGACCAGATGCCGGATCGAATGCAAGAAAGGCGTGCAAGGCAGAAGCCCGCGGGCCATGCAAGAACAAGGCCCCAGTGGGAGGAGAGCGCAGCCAGTCATGGCTGAGGTCAGTCCCAGATGTCCCTCTTGGCCCCTGAAGAATTCGGGATTTTGACCCTTAGGCAGTTGATGGGACTGGAGGTGGGGGGACGGGAACCCTGGATAGATTTTAGACAAGAAAGTACTGGTTGGGTTTGTGTTTGAAGAGGCGATGGTGGAGGTGATGGTCCAGGCCTGGGGGAGGTGACAGGGCCTGAATGAGAGCTGATGGTGGGCAACTCGGGAATGCGTTGAGTAGCGGGAATTCACAGACACAGCGGCCCTTTGAGCGCGCAGGGTGGTGAGGAGAGGGCTCTGGCTGCACCCCGCGCACGGGCTGCCGGCCCAGGGGAGGCTCGCGGGGCCCGGCGTCCTCAGGAGCCGCGGCAGGAGCAGAACAGCCCAGAGGCTGGGCCGCCGCAGTCGTGCTCGAACTGGTAGCCGCTGCCAGTGTTTGTGTCCCCCTTCCTGAAACAGCAAGCCAAGCCACTTCTGCGGTCGGAAGCAGAAACAAAACAAATATCCCCGGGTTCCTGTGGGTTTACATTTCTGCCCTGCATGGAGTACGCCTACCGCCTGGAAGTCTCTCTGAGGAAGTGTGAAAACTCCCGGGCCCGCGGGGAGGTGGCCTCCAGGTGGCCGCGAGGCCGCAGCGGGCCTGTCCTGCCCCGGACACGCCTGTGTCCCGCTGAGCTGGCCTGCCTGGACCTTGTACCTCCCCCCCTTCCTCCTCCTCCTCTCCCTGTCTGAACCCCAGCCCCCCAGAAAACTCCGTCATCCACACGACTCGGCCCGCCGCTGGCCTCGGGCCTGGGGAGCTGCCGCTGTGCTCGGGGGGGGGGGGTCTCAGACCTGTGCTCCGGCCCCCACAACCCCCCGCTCCCTGCCCTGCCCTCCCCCGGCCTCTCAGTGCCCGCCGCCCCTCACAGCCACTTGCCTTTCCAAGATGACCCTAATCCCTTCTGAAACCGCGACGTCCCTCCCCCGGGAGAAGAGAGGCGCCCCTCATTTTCAGGGGTCCCTGGGGGGCCTAGTCGAGGAAGCACCGACAGGCCTGCTGGTGGAGCCAGGGAGCGGGAGGGGGACAGGGGGACGCTTCCCGGGAGGCTGAGCCCCCTGGCGCCTGGCGGCCACTGTGTGACCTGCCGGCGCCTCAGTTTCCCCGTCACGTAGAGGAGGGCAGGGACACACACGTCACCGCCGTGGGAGGATTCCGCCTTGTGCTGCATGAGGACAGCTCCCGGCGCCTGGCGTTTCAGGCTCTGTGACTGGGGAGGATTGTCACCGAGGGAGGGCGCGCGGGCCAGGCCGAGAGCCGGGGAGCCTTGGAGCCTTCGGGGCGCAGGACGGACACAGTCACTTCAGAAAGGTCACTCTGAGGCAGCAAGGGGCACACAGGGGGCGGAGCCAGGCAGGAGGTGGGGGCAGTGGCCGGCCGGGCAGAGGCGGAGGGCAAGGTGACGAGGGGTCAGGTAGGATAGCGGGTCCAGAGCGGGAGCTGGCGGATGAAATTCTCTGGGAGATTTGGGAGGAAACTGGTCACGGTAGGGCCCCTGGGAAGTGGGCTGGGGCCGGGGAGGTGGGTAGATTTACTCTCCATCGTGTGCCACCTAAAACCCTTTCACGTTCCGAGCCGCGCTAATGATCGAAAGATACCAACTCAAAAGATAACACCGTCAAGAAGGAACATTTTATTTGCAAAAATAAAACACTGTCTCCATAGTTTGACGTCAGAAGCCGGCCCACTGAACTCCTGTTCCCACTCATCTGAGCCAGGGCCTCCTCGCTGGTCGGAGGACATGGACGCTCCTGGCCTCACTTGGCAATTTAAGAATTTAGTGACATCACGGAAGGACAAATACTGTCTGATTCCACTCAAATGAGGCGTTCGGGAGGCAGAATCGTAAGGACAGTGTGGTGATGGCTGCCGGAGGGGTCTAAGGAGTTAGAGTTTCAGATTTTCAGGATGGAAAGGGTGGGGACAGCCTGTGGGGACAGCTGTACCACACCGTGAGTGTATTTGATGCCGCTCAACTATACGCTTAAAAGTGGCTAAGATGGCAAATGTTACGTGTATTTTAACACATTTTTTAAAAGAGAAAATAAGGGCACCTGGGTGGCTCAGTCGGTTAAGCGTCCAACTTCGGCTCAGGGCATGATCTCACGGTTTGTGGGTTCGAGCCCCGCGTCGGGCTCTGTGCTGACAGTGTGGAGCCTGCTTGGGATTGATTCTCTCTCTCCACCCCTCCATCCCACGTCTCTCTCACTCTCAAAATAAATAAATAAAACTTTAAAAAAAATACTTTGAAAATAATAATAATATAAAGTGGAGCCAAAAACCAAAAAAATTAAATGACAAAACGGAACAAGGTAGGGAACGGTTTGCACGCCGCCTGGTCCCTCTTTCTGGTACCCAGAAAGTAACTATCATCCTCCTCTCTGGCCCTTCCCGCCCCGCCCCACACACCTGCACGCGGCTCTCCAAGTCTGTCTGTCCGGGACCCCCCACACCGTGTGACTTGTGGTTTCTCCTCCGCAGAGAAGGCTACGGATGGCTCCCTGCAGAGCGAGGACTGGGCCCTCAACATGGAGATCTGTGACATCATCAACGAGACCGAGGAAGGGTGAGGCCCGCAGGCGAGGCAGGGGCCGGGGGACGGGGATAGCCAGCCGCAGTGTCACCCGCCTCCTGCCACAGACCCCCTCCCCACTCCACCCCTCCTGGAGCGCAGGGGGAGACCCTCCTGTCTTCAGTGCCAGGAGGGCTGCGGAGGTCCTCTGAGTCCCACCCCAGGCAGGGGTGTGGCATTTTAGACCTCTTGGAACGAAGATTCCATCCAGTGCTGTCGTGAGATGGACAAGGGCATCCAGAGAGGCCCCGGGGGGGTGGGGGGGCGCCAACCCACGCGGCCTCCCTTAGGTCACAGCCTGGCCAGCTGGACCTCTTAGGACGTCACCGAGCTACATCCTCGTGGGACACGGCCAGCTGGTGGCTCCCGGCACTGGGACATGGCCCCGAGCACTGTTCTGCATCGCATGGGCCAGAATGGGCAGGGAGACTCCCAGCTTTCTCTGAGCGAGGACAGACTTTCATTTCCTTAAGATTTGGAACCAGCAGAGGAGGAGGTCGGAGGGGATCAGGGGACACGGCGAAGGCAGACACAGTGAAGCAGAACTGAGAGCCCATGGGCACTAGCCTGTGCCAAGCATTTCCGGTACACAGGTCCCCCCGGGACACGTGCCGTGGAGGAGGCATCGTGGTCTGCGCTCTTGGTCCCTGACTAGCAGGCCCTGACGAGCCGTGTGACCTGGGGCATGTCACTGTACCCACTAGGTCTTTGTCATCAGAGGTTAAGCTCTTTGAGAGTCTCCCAGCAGTATGCCCAAAGGCCTGAGGGGAGCAGACAGGGAAAGCAGGGCCACTGTCCTTGTCAGGAGAACCCAGAAGGTGGGAAGAGGCGGGGCGACCACAGTCATCGGGAAGTGCGGCCTGGCAAGACTTTGTTCTGAAAAGTCAGAATGAACGGCTGGAGCAGGACCCCATTTCCCTCCTCATCTCTCACTGCGACAGTCCAGTTGGTCTGCGGGGTCCCTCTCAGCCAGGTGGTCCCTTTGCGGGGAATGCGGGCCCAGGCAGGGAGCCCCCACTGCAGTACGCAGCGGCCGCAGGCACCTTCCAGCACCCCAGCAGTGGGCAGGTGGCGGAGGCAGGGCCACCAAGATAAAAGATGGGGGGCGGACATGCTCACGGAGCCCCTGAGAGGGCCTGGGGCTTCACAGACCCCCCTGGAGAAACAAGTCCCCATCCCCCGTGTAAGCGTGTGCGGAGCTGCGGCCCATGCGTGCTCTGGTTCAAGGCGTGTGCGATTGGCTTGAGCACTTCCTGTGTTCCAGGCACTGCATGAGGCCTTCGGGACGCAGCAGCGAGCAGAGCAGATGTCACCCTTGGCCTTGAGCCTCTGGTCTGTCAGCCCCCCAGCCCCCATGGGTTGTGGCCTCCTTCCGTCCACTGTGGGCTCCTGGCCGGGCACGGGGCACAGCAGGCCCAGAACCAGGGCACACAAGCCCGGACTTCTGATTCCCAGTGCTGCGCCCTCTCTCTGGGCCACCCTGAAACGTGGAGACAAGTCCCTTTAGAGGATGAGGGGCTGCCCCAGGGCATTGGCGGAAAACTACCCGCACCCTTCCGGGACAGGGGCCCGGCCCGTCAGGGACCATGGCCCCTCACCCGCGTGTCCTGCGCGTCCCGCCCATCACAGCTTTGACAGGCCTCCATGGCTCTTGCCTGTTGCCTGGCCTGCTGCTGTCGCTCATGTCGGGGGACCTGTGTCGGGGTTCCTGACTTTCCTGACCTGCCCTTCACAGGGTCAGCACTGAGCAGACAGATGTGTGGCGGACACCAGGACAGGCCCCGGGGGGGCCACTCCCCACCTAGGAAATGTCACTCCTGCTCCTGTAGCGTCCCAGGCTCTGGGGAGGCCAAGTGTCAAGAGAAGACGCCGTGCCCGTCCTCAGGGGGCATCTTCACCCAGGGAGCCCCGGGCGGGTGCCGCATGGCAGTGCACCCCAGGGAGACGGGGGGCTGGGAAGGAGTCGTGGGCAAGGCGCGTTTCCGCTGTACCTTCACCAGGTGGACATGCAAGTTGGGCCAGAGCAGTCGGGGCAGCACTGATTGGCCTGCACAGTGCTGAAGGGTGGGATGTAGGGGTGAGGCGGTGTGGGTGGGCTGGGCCCGTCGCCAAGGCCTTCAGGGCTCCCCCTGCACTTATGTGTTTCCCCCTCCCCCCCACCGTGAGGGCTGGGCCTCTTCAGCCTCTCCCTCTGCCTCCCTGCACGGCCTCCATTCAGTCCCTCCTGCCTCTGCCTGAACTGCTTCCCGCCTCCCCTCAGCTGGCTCCATCTCATCCTTCACGCCCAGCCATGATGCCACCTCAGAGAGGACTCCCCAGACACCCCTCCCTGACACCCCCTCACTCTTACTGCGGGCCCCCCGTCTTTCCCACAGTGATGTGGGTCTCCCTGGTCACATGGTCCATAAGAGGAGACCTGCATGTTCACCAGTGGGTGCCCAGCACCCAGCATGGTGGCGGCATGTGTGACTGCTTAGTGAGACCTGAGTGGAAGTGTGGGAGGAGAGAGGGAGTAGCCAGGACGAGGCCCCAGGACTCTGCGCCCATTTTTCAACCCCAGTGTGTATCAGGAGCCCTTGGGGGCGTGATGAGTGCACAGATCTGGGAGAGCTTGGTTCAGGGATCTAGGGTGGGAGCCCCAGGTTTTGCATTTTTGACAAACCATTATACCTCCTCCAAGAGGATTCTGGCGCAAGGGGTCCAGAGAATCTCTGCCAAGTATTCATACCGTATTGCGGACTTAGGCGGGGCAGGCAGTTTGTGTTGTAATTAGAACCTGTGTGTTCAACAGGAAACAGGACACAGAAAAAACAGATGAGTGGTGGGATGGGATGGATGGGCGGATGGATGGATGGGTGGATGGATGGATGGATAGGATGGGATGAATGGATGGGATGGATGGATGGATAGGATGGAATGGATGGATGGGATACATGGATGGATGGATGGATGGATGGATGGATGGATGGATGGATGGATAGGATGGATAGGATGGGATGAATGGATGGGATGGATGGATGGATAAATGGATGGATAGGATGGATGGAATGGATGGATGGGATACATGGATGGATGGATGAGATGTGATGACATGAATGGATGGGATGGGATGGATGGATGGATGGATGGGATGGATGGATGGATGGATGGGATGGATGGATGGATAAATGGATGGATAGGATGGATGGATGGGATGGGATGAGATGGATGGATAGGATGGGATGAATGCATGGGATGGATGGATGGATGGATGGATGGGATACATGTATCGATGGATGGGATGGGATGGGATGGATGGATGGATAGAAGAAATGGATGGATGGGATGGATGGTTGAGTGGATAGATAGTTGGGATGGATGGACGGATGGGATGGGATGGATGGATGGATGGATGGATGGATGTGATAGGACGGATGGATGAGATGGATGGATAGATGGATGAGATGTGATGGGATGGATGGATGGATGGATGGATGGATGGATGGACAGATGGAATGGGAGGGATGGATGGAATCAGCCCCGTTTTCCAGGACTCCCTGATCTTAGGTAGGCAGCCCCGTGTGTTGAATAAGAAGGTTCCATTCCTCAGCCCATCCTTCCTTTTGTCCTTCTGCCCAGTCCCAAAGATGCCTTCCGAGCAGTGAAGAAGAGGATTGTAGGGAATAAGAACTTCCACGAGGTGATGCTGGCTCTCACGGTGAGTGCCCCATCTGTCCGTCTGTCCATCCATGGTAGAACCACACCTCCCCCAGGCCTAGCAGGACTCCCAGCCACCCCGGGGCTCCTCTTCCAGGCATTGAGAAGGAAAGGTCTGTGGGCAAAGTGCTGGCCTGTCCACAGTGCTGGCAGACACGGAGCGGCCATTTGGCAAAGTTCTCTCCGACTTCTGGTATGAGGAGCAGACACACTGAGGCCTCACATCCCTCCAGAACCAGTCATGGGGAGCTCGTGCCAAAGGACCTGACGGGTGACACAGAAGCTCGGTGAACCCAGACCTCGGCAGGGCGGAAAGTCTGGCCAGCCACACTGGGTGCTGGCTGGCACTTGGATGCCCTGAAAAATGCGCATAAAACAGGTGCCGGTGCCTGAGGATGGGCCAGGAGGGGGGGGTCATCCAGGCTGTTGGAGGGGTTTGCTGCGAGTGGAGACAGAGCACTCTGTCCCGGCCTCCCCAGCAGCACTTTCATCAGGTGAATTGGCTAAACTGACGCATGGGGCACCTCCTGCCAGGAAGGGAGAACATGAAACAGGGAGGGAAGTTCAACGCCTTGTCCTGGGGCTGCAGGGTCAACTAGCGATTATGGAAGTTCACTGTGGTTTCCGCTCGGAGAGCCACCCTCCCTCCAGACTGTATGCAGCTCAGAAGCAGCTTCAGGACAGGCTTCTGTGGGCACTGAGGCCACTCAGCAAGGGGCCACTGGTGGGCACACCAGCCCCCGGGGTCAGGGCACTGTCCCCACTTCTCTGTGTTCCAGGGCTCACTTGAGGGAGCCCCTCCAGTACTCAGCCTCTCCTCTGGGATGGAGGCTGAGCGTGCATGCCAGGGTCCTGGGCACCCCTGCTCACGGGCACCTCCTGGTCTCCAGGTCTTAGAAACCTGTGTCAAGAACTGCGGGCACCGCTTCCACGTGCTGGTGGCCAGCCAGGACTTCGTGGAGGGCGTGCTTGTAAGGACGATCCTGCCCAAGAACAACCCGCCCACCATCGTGCACGACAAGGTGCTCAACCTCATCCAGGTGAGCGCGGGCGGGCGGGCTGAGCTCCCTGCCAGCAGCCTTGCAGGTGGGGAGGGGTGGCACGGTGTGGGGGGGAGCTTCGCCCCCCCCCCCACCATCACTGCTCTTCTTCTGTTTGCTTCCGTCTCCTCCTCCTACGGGGCCATCTCGGTGTCTGCTGACTGGAGGTCCTGAGCGCGAGGAGGCCTCACTTGGCAGGGGCTGTGTGGGCGCAGTGGTCAGAGGACCAGCGAGTCAGGGAGGCCCTGCTCTCTGGGGGCAGGTGGGAGGGCTGGTGGGGGAGATGGTGAGCAGTGGTTACCGGCCATGTCCCCTTGTCCCCTCTCAGTCCTGGGCTGACGCGTTCCGCAGCTCGCCCGACTTGACAGGTGTGGTCGCCGTCTACGAGGACCTGCGGAGGAAGGGCCTGGAATTCCCGATGACCGACCTGGACATGCTGTCGCCCATCCACACGCCCCAGAGGGTGAGGAGACGCACCCAGTGGGAGCAGGGGGCGGCGGGGGCGGGGGCATTTCCTCGGTGTTTCCCCAGCTGCTCCCTGAGGCACTGACCTGCCGCATGGATCCCGGTTTTGCCCTCCAGACCGTGTTCAGCTCAGAGGCGCCATCAGGGCAGAATTCTGTGGGCACGGACACCAGCCACGGAGGAGACTCCACCCAGCACCCCACCCCCCTGTCCGTCCCGGCCACGCTCCCCGGTGACACACCCATCACACCAACCCCTGAGCAGGTAAACAAGCCTGAGTCAGAGCCACGCGGGTCAGGGAGGGCCCCTCTCACTATGGAAATCACTGTCCTCACAGCAGCCCCACCGGGTACGTATCATTCTTTCTGTTTCAAAGATGAGGCTTAGATAAACTCGCTGGCCCAGCCATCAGAGACGGTGGTAGGATTCAGGCTCAAGTCTGTCTGACTTCCGGCAGGCTCTGTTCTCCAAAGTGTGTGCTCCTCAGGCAGCACCGGAGAGAATAAATGCCCCAAGAAGGAGGTTTGAGGCACAGTGTAAGATTCCAGGGCCCAGGGCCTGGGACAGGTTTTCCCGGGGCTCTGTGAGTAGCTCTGCAGTCTACCCACCAGACTCACAACGCACTGACTTAGCTTCTGTCCCTCAGTTTCTTCCTCTGGAGGGGGGGCCAAGGCCACCTGCCAAAACCGCCCTCCTGCCCCTTAAGGGATATCTGCAGCCACCACCAAAATAAGCTGGATACACGCTCATTTTATTTATCTATTTCTAAGTTTGTTTAAGTGATCTCTGCACCCAGCTTGGGGCTTGAACTCACAACCCCAGGATCAAGAGCTACATGCTCTACTGACTGAGCCGGCCAGGTGCCCCAATGCGCTCTCATTTCGGACGTGGCCGTTGGGGTGTGGGCTGAGGTCTTGTGTTGTTGGGGTGCCCACTTTTGAGGTGTGTTATGAACTTTAGACCCATCACACCAGCTAAATGTGAAAGCTTAGCTGCTAAAGGTACTGGTGAGAGAGACACGGGTCCGTGATGGAAAGAAAGTGAACCTTGACCTTCCAGAGTGGACCCACGAATCTCCTGTACTGTCCACCTGGACTCATGAACAAAGCTGCCAGCAGCCTTTCACACTCCAACCTATCCAGAGAGAAGCTTCTGTACTGGATATCTTATAAGACGTTATAAAATCACGTCCCAGAGTTACAAATATTCCTAGAAACGTTTTCCTAACTGGACATACAATTAAAGGTATAGAAGACTTGTAAAATCACCCTGTGATCCAAATTTGCCTGAAGTCTAACATCTGCGTGGACTTAGGCCTGATTACATCGAGTGTAAGAAGGTTCTCGTTAAACAACAGGGAGGAGGCGGCATTTAGTTTCCAGCGCCCCTCTTGTGTCCTGGGGCAGTCAGAGCTTCCAGGCAGCCAGTGATATCACTCCCAGACTCTGCTGTAATTAGATCCCATCTGACCCGGACACACTGGGCTTGTGGTCAGTAGTTTTTCCACTCATTTATACCAAGGGTGTTCATTAAATAGGCCAAACGTACCAAACATTCTGTGGGGTTTGGAAGGTGTCTATGGCCCGTAGTTACTACCTGTGTCTACACCCCCATTTCTTCATCTGTAAAGGCTGGGGTAATGACATGTGCCTCATAAGAGTGTGGTAACATTTAATTAGCAATAAAAGCTAAATGCTTGGCATTTAGTAAGTGGTTAGTAAATGGCAGGTAGCTGCTGTCACAGGCATTGGAAATTCATATACTGACACTCGTAATCTGAAATCAGCGAGGTCACATGCATTTCTCAGAATGGAAGCCACTTAATAGTGGACCCATGAGGTATACGAATACGAAGGGTTCTTCGTCCAGATTAGTTTTAGAACTTTCATACCGGCGCGCCCCGGTGGCTTAGTCGGTTCAGCGTTCAGCTTCGGTTCAGGTCATGGTATCACGATTTGTAAGTTCAAGGCCTTCATTGGGCTCTGTGCTGTCAGCGGCATGGAGCTCACTTGAGATCCACTGTCTCCACTCTCTGCCCCTCACGCCCTGTCTCTCTCTGTCTCTCTCAAACCTTTTTTTTTTTTAAGTCTAAAAAAGAACTTCCATACTGATGCCTTCCTAGACATCCACAGACATAAGGCACTGGGTCTGTGGCCCCTCACCACCTCACCCATGTGATTTACACCAATTCCCCAAGCTAAGACCTTGTAACTGTTTGATCACTGAAAAACCACTAACATCCTTTATTTTTTTATTATCTTTTTAAATGTTTATTTATTTTTGAGAGGCAGAGAGAGACAGAGCATAAGCAGGGGAGGGTCAGAGAGAGGGAGACAAGAATCTGAAACAGGATCCAGGCTCCAAGCTGTCAGCACAGAGCCCGATGTGGGGCTTGAACCCACGGACCGTGAGATCATGACCTGAGCCGAAGTCGGACGCTTCACCAACTGAGCCACCCAAGTGCCCCAATATCCTTTTAACAAGTGCTAAATCTGAGTTTCACATTCGGGGGTGGGGGGTGGTGAGGAGGTAGCACTCATGCTTGGAGGAGCCAGGACACCAGAACAGACCAGGAGCATGTCCTGTGCTCACAGGAGAGGAGAGGGGAGTGAACTCCTGTCCTAAGGGAGGAGGAGTGAGGTCCTGTCCTGTGCGAGAAGCAGGCTTGCCGATTCCCTCCTCTCCCCTTGGCAGGGAGCTGCCCTCCAGGGCCTCGTTAGCTGCCATCTTGGCCCCAGGAGGTGCTGGAGCCTTCCAGCTGTACTCTGTGGTGTGTATACCTTCAGCTTCTTTCCTTGTACCCTTCCCTGAACCAGGCTCCCCACTTTGGAGATGGTAACGGTTGGTAGCAGCTCAGTGAGGGGGGTTTCTGGGGGACAGGGCAGGCCCACCACAGGCCTCCTAGTGCCAAGCTGTGGAGCCAGAAGGGTCCTGGCGGGCCGGGCCCCTGGGTGCCACGCCCGGGGCTAATGGCACCAGCCTCTCCTTGTTAGCAGCAGCGGCCCCAGCCCCCCGGCCTCTCTCACGGGGGCCGACGGTGTGTTTCAGATCGGGAAGCTGCGCAGCGAGCTCGAGATGGTGAGTGGGAACGTGAGGGTGATGTCGGAGATGCTGACGGAGCTGGTGCCCACCCAGGCGGAGCCCGCCGACGTGGAGCTGCTTCAGGTGAGCCCCTCCCCCGCACATGGCAGCCCTCGTGACTCTCTGAACACCTTGGTCACAGCGGGAGGGGTTAGATCCCCGGGCTCTGGGCTCCAGCTACTAGAATCCAGGGCTCCACCGTTTTCTAGTGGGAACAAAATGGCCCCTCTTACGTCAGCTTCCTCATCTGTGAGATTGTTCTCATAAGAGCTTTGAAGGTCTGAGTTTGGCATGAGAATTAAATAAGGCTTTGCCTGTGGAACACCAGCCCTGGGCCTGGGTCAGGGTAGGCCCCCCAGTCCGTGGTATCGAGGAGAAGCTGGGGAGTGGGATTTCCCCCTTCCAGAAGGTGAAGCTTAGCAGGCAGGGGTGGGAGCGGCGCTGGCTTTGAGAGGGCAGAGCGGGTGCTCCCGGGCCCTCGGGCAGGTGCGAGCCCTGGCTTTCCCTCCATGTGTCACATGCATTCCCACAGTCCCATCCCCAGCTGTGGAGGTCAGTTCACAGAGGTGCCAAGAAAGCTCGGCAGGGTGGGGGTGGGGGGGCAACACCCAGGAGTCACAAAGTGTGGGTGACGGGTTGACAGGAGGACAGCCCACAAGCAGTGAGCACTTCCCATGCACCAGGCTCTCATGTAGACACTTGATACCCCTTCATGCTTCACTCCGTCCTCAGCGCACCCAGCAACAGGTGGGCCCTCTCATTATCCCCGTTTCCTGGATCAGCCAACTGAGGCACAGAGAGGTCATATACTGTGTCCAGGGTCACGTGACTGGTAAGCAGCAGAATCTGAGCCCAGGAGACTAGCTCCAGCCGCTGCTCTTCAGCTGCCGGGAGGGGTGGGTAAGGAAGTGGGAACAAAGCCACAAGTGTGCTTGGTCACCGGAGGAAGAGAGGGGAGGCCCACAGGGTGTTGAAAGTCATCAGGCCCGCCCTGCCCACGGTAAAGGCAGATGAGGAAATCCTAGGAGGGGGTGGGTACCGGGGTCCGAAGGAGAACCCACGTCAGTGTTGGGGCAGCGTCTGGTCTTCACGGGGCCTCTAGGAGGAACGTGCCGGCATGTGGCCACAGTCCGCAGTGCCGATGACCGTTTGAAGCTCGGGACCTCAACCCAGGCACCTGTTCATTCATGGCAGGTACCTGCAGAAAGAAAAAGTCAGAGTCTTACAAATGAAAAACTTAGAACGCTGTGGCTGTTGATTTTTTTTCTCTTTCCCAAAGGAGTTTAAACATGTAACTTGCTGATTACAAGTCAGTCACAGACGTGGCGGCTGAGTGAGCGTGGGGTCCTGGAACAGGAGGGCTTTAGCGGGAAAGCAGCGACGCTGAGGAAAGTCTGGAGCTGAGCTCATAGGGCTGGGCTGGTGTTCACCTCTTCGCTTTGACGAATGCCAAACTGAGGAGAAGCGGGTGAAGGGGTTACAGGAACTCCACTACCTGGGAACATTTCTGCGAATCTAAAATTATTCCAAAGTAAAGGAGTGTTTAAAAAGAAATCAGTGAAAAGAATGAGGCAGGAATTCAAAATCGGGGTTTGCGGATAAGAGCTGGAATCCTCTAGTTCGTTTCTGTATGTTTTGGTGACAGAAAGATCCCAGCCACTCAGGCGTTGTGGTTTGTTCTACTGGCCCCTTGCGGTCTTGGGTGGTTTTTTTTTGTTTTTTTGTTTTTTGTTTTTTGTTTTTTTTGAGAGAGAGAGACAGCGTGAGCAGGGGAGGGTCAGAGAGAGGGAGACAGAATCTGAAACAGGCCCCAGGCTCTGAGCTGGCTGTCAGCACAGAGCCCGATGCGGTGCTTGAACCCACGAATCGTGAGATCATGACCTGGGCTGAAGTCAGATGCTTAACCGATTGAACCACCCAGGCGCCCCCGGGTCTTGGTTTTTCAACCGAGCAAAGGTGGCAACGGGAAGTTGATTACGAAGTCTGCACGCGGCCACTTAGGCCGGCAGCCCCGCCTCACATGTTGCTTGTGTCCCACATGTTCAGTATTGGTGTAGATGGCTGCGGCCATCGTCCTTCCTCCCTCTTCCCTCCCCAGGAGCTCAACAGGACGTGCCGCGCCATGCAGCAGCGGGTCCTGGAGCTCATCCCCCGAATCGCCAATGAGCAGCTCACGGAGGAGCTGCTCATCGTCAATGACAATCTCAACAATGTGTTCCTGCGCCACGAGCGGTAGGCCAGCTGCCCCCCCCCCTCCCCTGGCGCCCTGGTGCCCTGTTCACACCGGCTGACCTCCTGTGGTCTCCCTCCCTCCTTCCCAGCGGGGGGGGGGGGGGGGGGGGGGGGGGGCATGAAGTCTGCCCAGCCTTCCAGCCACGGCTCCTCTCCCTGCCAGAGTCCACCCTGCCCTGCGTGTCCCTGGTGTGGGCCTGGTCTGTCCTGGNGGTCCTGGAGCTCATCCCCCGAATCGCCAATGAGCAGCTCACGGAGGAGCTGCTCATCGTCAATGACAATCTCAACAATGTGTTCCTGCGCCACGATGTCCAAGGAAGAGCCTGGCCCCCCTCCCCTGGCGCCCTGGTGCCCTGTTCACACCGGCTGACCTCCTGTGGCCCCCCTCCCTCCTTCCGGGGGGGGGGGGGGGGGGGTTTGGGGGGGAGTGCATGAAGTCTGCCCAGCCTTCCAGCCACGGCTCCTCTCCCTGCCAGAGTCCACCCTGCCCTGCGTGTCCCTGGTGTGGGCCTGGTCTGTCCTGGCTCACTCTGCCACCGCCCGGCCCTGGGGCTGTGGACCAGTTACTTGACTTAATTACGGCTCTTTGACTCTTTGACTGCTCACTTAAGCAGGAAGATAATTTATCAAGAGAATAGCCTTTACGAAATGGAAAGCTTTCAGAATCCAAAAAAGAGTGAAACAGTGAGGCCTCCCAGCAGAGCGGGCAAGAAAGATCCCAGGGCGGGTCTGGGTCTCGGGCAGCAACTCCTAGGCCACGTTCCCTAGGATGTTGGCATCAGTAAACGGGCCTCATATGGTTGCCCATACAGAGAAGGGGTGGCAGGCTCTCTGTGTCTGAAAACCAGGTTCATTGCAGTCCCTGCCTATGGGGTGACAGCAATACCTATAAGCACTTAGCAACCAGGGGTGTCTGGGGCATGACACAGTGCAGCCTTCTCCAGCCCTCACGTCTTTATCCTTCAACAGACACCAAGTGATTCTGAGTCCATTGAGAGTGGGGCGGGGCTCCCGGGGGCCGTGTCTACCCGGCCCCTCCTGCCCGCTAGCTCAGTAGAATAGAGGAGTCCCTTTCTGCCATTTTGGGGTGTGGGCTAAGGTGGCCGAAGGGCCAAATCCAGGGATGACTGGGACCCACTGACACCCACTGGCATCAGACACGGCCTGATATCGCATGCCTGCTGCCTCTCAGTTCACGGTCATGCTCAGGGTCTTCGCCAGGCCCTTCCATCGGGGAGGCAGGGTCCACTGTCGTCCCCTTATAATAGACGAGGCTGAGGTTCACAAGGGAGGTAATATGCCCACAGGCACTCAGTAAGTGACAGGGCCGAGACTCGACAGACCACGGCCTTCTCTGCCCACCTCAGCAGCCCCTTGGTGTGTCGGCGGCTAGTCCAAGTGGCTCTGTAAAGCAGTGTGAGAGAGGTGTGTCTTCTGACACCACTTCAGAGAGCCGCTGACACGCACACGTGTGTAAGCGAATCACCAGACACGTTTTATGGAGCAGAGCTTACCTTCACCGTGTGCCGTGCGTCCCCAGTTTCCTCTCTGTTCTGGCCTGTTCCCGCGTGTTGCTGGTCATGACCGGAGTGGCCAGGCGATCAGGGATTCCAGCTGGGACACTCTGGCCAGTGAGCGAGGGGCACTGTTAACAGTTCCCCAGGGACACCCCGGCAGGGATCCACATCCCCGGCCTAAACTGGATCTTTCACCCTAATTGTAACCCAGCAGGTGGATGGGCCTGCAGTGTCAGGAGCTCGGCCCGGACTGGGCCTCTCTATCCCTCTGACTCATCTCGTTTGTGTCTTTGTAGGTTTGAACGGTTCCGAACAGGCCAGACCAGCAAGGTAAAGGCGCTTTTCTGTGACCAGGTCGTGCCCATACTGAGGGGGAAGAAGAGGGCTGTGCTCACCTCCCCCCCACCCGCTCCAGACATCCTGCACAGGATGTGCCTTCCTGTCCATACTCCTAGAGGACTCCCCTTCTAACTTTTTATGTCCCTGTCCCTTTAAGGTAACTAAAGCTCAGCCACCAGCTAATGCCCAAGGGTCTTCTCTAGCTCCTAGGGGTGCAGCTGAGCTAGGGGCAGAGCGGGGAAGACTCCCCAGTTCCCAGCCAGAGCTGCCAGAGCCCTGGTGGCACAGCCTGCAGCCACGGTGGCCTCTCGCTTCTCCCCAGGCCCCACAGGAGGCCGAGGCGGCGGCTGACTTGATCGACATGGGCCCTGACCAGGCACCGCCCACCGGCAGCCTCTCGTCCCAGCTGGCAGGAATGAGTAAGTGCATATGGGGGTTCTGGCCAAGGGCACAGGACGGTGCTGTGGGCACCCCTGCAGTTTAGGGGTGCCCTCTTAGACGGTTGGGGCCGGAGCGCCGGCAGCAGAGCTCGGCCCAGACTCCGCCTCGCTGGGCTGACCCCCACTGCAAGGTCAGGCAGCCAGGACCAAACACATGGGGCTCTCACCCTCACAGCCCCCAACTCCCGAGCCCCCTCGGGCCTCAGGGGCCCACTGTTCTGCAGTCTCCCCTCGACACTGAATTCTCCATGGTGCGTGCCCCCGGGGCAAGCATGGGCGAGTCACTTAAGTGCCCCATGCCCCCTCCCCTGTGTAACGGGCGGGAACGGGCCCTTCCTCACAGGTCGTCGTGAGGACCGGGCAGGCTCACCATGCAAGGGCCCGAGACGGCGCCAGGCCGGGGTGGGCTCCCAGGACATGCTAGCAGGTGTCATCACTGTGTTTAGTTCCCACACTGCTGGCTGCCTGCTTGTGCCGAGCCCAGGAAGTACGTCACAGCCCGTCGTGAATCACTGACGCCAGGCTGTTTGAAAACTCGGCTGTGCCGATGACCGGGAGCTCCCTGCGCAGCCGTGTGCCGTGCCAGATGCGCTGGGCAGCGTTCTACCCGTTCTCACAGCTGCCCTGGGAGGGGGCTGTGACTCTGCCTCGGGCAGAGGAAGTCACGTGCCCACAGCCCCTCAGACAGCAGGGACCCGGCGGCCCCATCCGTACACCCGCGCTGGCTCCCCTGACCTGCCCCTGCCGGCCCCCTTCTTCTCCGGAACCATCCATGGGCCTGGCATTCAGCCGCTACTCAGTGTGCAGGGACAGCTGGTGTCCCTTCATGTCCCTTTCTGTCCCCGCAGACCTGGGCTCCAGCAGCGTGAGGGCTGGCCTGCAGTCTCTGGAGGCCTCGGGCCAACTGGAAGGCGAGTTTGACATGTTTGCGCTGACCCGGGGCAGCTCTCTGGCTGACCAACGAAAAGAGTGAGTGGCCCGGCCCCACCCTGTCCCCTGCAGTCTGGGCTCCCCATCAGGGCAGAGCCTCTCCGGGCCCCTGCACCCAGCTGCTTGGCACGCCATGTGGAGGGACACATGGCCCGCTGTCCGCACCCCCTCAGGACGGCAGAGCTCCCACCCCCTGGATCGGTTCCTAGTAGCCCTGACAGCTTTGTGGCCAAGAGGCAGACTTTGTGCCCCACAGGCAGGCCTGGGTAGGAGAAGGGCCGTCTGTGGTTTGATGAGCAGCTGTGAGCCGGAATCTCACATAATCTGATGAGATGAGGAAACTGAGGCACAGAGAGCCTGAGTCATTTGCCCCAAGCCAGGCCATTGACATGTGGCAGCACTAGGTTGAGAGCCCAGGGCTGCTGGGCCAAACAGCGACCGTCCCAGCCTCTCCCCACCGCACTCGAGGCCGCGTACCAGGCCACTCAGGGCAGGCAGGGAAGGTCCCCGATAAAACCTCAGGGACTTGTCTAGTCATTTCTGTTGATGCCTAACCACCCGGAAGGTCCCCACAAGTCCCCGTTGCCCTACTCGGGTCTGCTCCCTCTGCCCCAGGCCTGAGGTTCTGTCCTTTCCTGGGCTGGGGTTTTCAGGGAGGTGCTTTCGGCAGTCACGGCAGGCCCCTGGCTCGACCTCTCGGGACTGGCCCCACACAGGCTTGTCAGGGGAAGCAGTTTGCTTGATATTGTCAGCCCTTTGCTCAGGACTCAGGACTGCGCTGCAAGCAGCCAGGATTTACACCCAAGGAAAGTTCTGGATTAAGGGGCTCCCTCAGCAGATGCCCCAGCCTCTTCGGTGGTCATTCTGGTCACCTGAATGGCCTTTGGCCTCCCCACCTTGCTCTGTCTCTGGGAACTGTCAGTGGGCCTCTGAGAGCCCAGCGACACCCTGTCCACACCACACATCCAGGCCAAATCAGATAGGCTGCAGCCAGCCTGGCGGCTCTGTGGGGTCACTCAGCCCTGGGCTGCGAGCGGTCTCTTTAGTCCCGGGCCTCCTGCACTCGCGAGGCCCAGGGCTCAGGGACCGGCAGCTCACAGTTGCCATGGAGTTCGGGGTGCGGAGAGGCCGCTGTGCAGGTGGAAGCTAATGGGTCCACTGGGATCTGCAGCCAAGAGGGCGGCCGCCCCAGCAGGTAGCACACTGGTCACACCCGAGGGCCCCTGGCTCGGCTCACTGTGCTCTTACTGCTTTGAGGAGCGGGCCCTGGGGGACAGCAGAAAGCAGCCCTGACGCCCAGTCTCATGGGGAGTGAGGTGTACAGGCGGCCGCCACGCAGTGCCTATTGCTGGGCATGCCGGGCACTCTGGACACACACGTGGTGGCAGGCGGCTCTGCAGAGGGTACTCAGGGCTGGACCGCAAGACAAGGTGTCAGGAAGGCTGTTTCGGGCCAGAGGAGCAGTGTGTGCAAAGGCTCAGGGGCAGGGAGAGCATGAGATGCTGAGGGCAAGAGGGGCACATCTCAGGCCTTCTCATGTCACGGGGTCCCCTGCAGGGACGAGAGTGCCCTGGCATCAAGTTCCTCTTTCCTTTGTTCTGCTTGGTAGTCCCTCCCTTGGGCTCTGGCTGCGTCTTATAGCCCTGATGGCCTGGCTGGCCTGTGGACCCCCTCGCCCTGGCCCCTGGGGCTCTGGAATCCTCGGAGGCCTTTTCTGCCCATCGGGAGTCAGGCCCACACCCCTGCTGCCTTGCCGGCCCCCGCTTCCCTCCAGCCTGTGCCAGCTCTGCCTCTGCTCCCCAGGAAGCCAGCTCCTTGCCAGCCACACCCCGACCCCGGCTGGCACAGTTGTGGCCTCTCCAGCCAACCAGGCCAAGGAGAGCGACAGGAAGAGTCTCTCTGAGCCAGCGCAGGGCCCCCTAGCCAGGGATGCTCTTCTGTGCTGTCACCCTGGGGACACGCCGCCCTTCCTGCCCAGAGCCGCTGTCGCCCAAGTGGCCCTGGGTCCAGTCCCTGCCCACCAGCCTCGCCACAACCCTCTGAGGCGGGGTCCTCCTCCCTCCTGCACTGGGTGTGGGGCAGGAGCTGCCCGGCCCAGCGTCTGCTGCTGGGTGTGGGCCTTGCCGGCTTCCTCCATCCGGGCGTCTCCCGCCTTCACATTCTTCTTCTCTATTGTTCTTTCAAGTGAAGAAAAGCAGCGATTGCTATACATTCCTAGCTCCGAACATGCCTTATTCTGCCCTTTTCCACAGTGCACCTGCCACGTCTTAGATGAAGGGACCACAACGGGGCTACTTGCATACCCAGTGGGCGGGCCCTCCCGGGGTCAGGACGCATGGCTCAGTCTTAGACATCACGTCCTCCTCACCAGCTCTCAGGGCCCGGACTTAGCCAGGGATACCAAGCTGCTCACCAGGAGGGCATGAGCTTGCCGCCCGCCACCCAGGCTTTGGGGTTGGCTCCTGCCCAGCCCTGCGGGTCCCCCGTGCGGCGACGGGCCGGAGCCGCAGAACTGCTGGACGAGCTGATGTCCGCGCTCTTGCGGCCAATTCCATGGGAGGGAGCGGACGCTAGTGCTCTCAAAATGGCTGCCTGGGAATTTAGGGGTCTTCTTCCCAGAGGCCCTTTGAAGTGCCAGTCTCCCCCATTCCCGGGAAGGCCATTTGGCATTGCAAAGGTTTCAGTTGATAGGGTCTGGGTTCCTGAACCCTCGAGCTGCCCGCCTCCCCCCCTCCGCCCACCGACCCCGGATCTGCAGGGCTTTCCCTTGGCGATGGGGATTCTGCAGCTCACTTCCCCTCAGAACTGGACCGAGCCCGTGCCGAGGCCTCCCCTCCGTCAGCTGGCGCCTCACAACAAGAAGAGCAGCTCTTTTCAAGAATCAAGGCTGAGTGCCTGAGGCCGCCTCTGACATCTCCCTGTAGCAGCCAGGAGAGACCCCCCCCCCAGCCCCTCACCCCCCAGGCTTCCCCCAAACTCCTGCCTTATTGTCTCACTCCCCACGAGACTCAGCTCACATAGCAAACACCTTCCCTGTGCTCAGTGCCTACCTCTCTGTCCCACCCAGCTGGCTGGCATCCCCCAGGACATTTGATGTCTCTTTCTTTCTTTTTACTTTTGAGAGAGAGGGAGGGAGAGAAAGAGAGAGAAAGAGTGCAAGAGCAGGGGAAGGGCAGAGAGAGGAGGGGGAGAGGATCTGAAGCGGGCTCCGCGTGGACAGCAGAGAGCCCCGTGCAGGGCTTGAACTCACAAGCCATGAGATCACGACCTGAGCCAAAATCGGACGCTTAACCGACAGAGCCACCCAGGGGCCCCATCCCCCAGCACGGCCAGGACAGGGCAGGGGAGAGCTCCGTGCCATCTCACCTGGCACCCCACACAGCCATCCGCACATGTGTCTGCGGCAGCAGAATGGAACCCCCCCATCCAAAGGTGGCCTTGTGCTGAACCACGAGTTACTACCTTACAAAATGGAAGCTGCTCAGGGAGCCTGGGGAGCTCATTCAGTTAAGCGTCTGACTCTTGATTTCAGCTCAGGTCACAATTCCCGTAGTCGTGAGATCTGTCCCCACGTCGGGCTCCGTGCTGAGCGTGAAGCTTGCTTGGGATTCTCTCCTCTCTCTGCCCCTCCCCTGCTCCTGTTCTCTGTCTCAAAATAAATAAACATTTAAGAAGAAGAAGAAGCTGCTCAGAGAAGCGTCTGGAGGCAGGAATTCTCCATGGGCATGGGGGCATTGGCGCTGTCTCTCATCCCTGGAGTTTGGCCAGATCTGATGAGAGCCATTGGTGAGCTTGCTCTCAGCCTTTGGCCAGCGCCAGCCCCTCACTTTTGGGTGCCTGTCACGGTCACAACGTCAGAGCCCAGGTCTACCCTCCCCGGGCAGGCAGGCCGGCAGGATTGGAGCCCGTCCTGGGGCCTGAGCCGCCCTCTGTCCAGGTGTGACCCGGGGTCCGCACAGGACATGTGTCCAGCTTGCCCCTGCCCACCCGTGCATCCCGCCGTCAGTCAGCACGCCCGGCACCGCAGGGCACAATTCATGCTTGTGGCCTCCATGTTTCAGGGTGAAATATGAAGCCCCCCAAGCAACAGACGGCCTGGCTGGAGCCCTGGACGCCCGGCAGCAGAGCACTGGAGCGGTAAGCAGAGAGCCAGGAAGGAGGGCCAGGGACGCTTGCTCACTGCCCCCCCCCCCCCGCCCGCCGTGTGCTGGGCACTGACGTGACACATCCGTCTCCTCATCTGGCTCTGTGGTTGGCCCTTTGTTGCTAATGTGACAGCTCCCATTTCACAGCTGAGGAAAGCAGTCCGAGAGGTTAAGTCACCTGCCCAAGCTCACACAGCGAGGAAGGGCTAGAGCGAGGACTCGGACCCGCCAGGGCCCCGCAGCCTGGGCTCCCAGCTGTGCCCGCAGACAGACTGCTGACCTGTAGCGCGGTGTACGGTCGGCGCATGAGGGTGCGTGAGGGGCTCCGCAGAGTTAGAGCTCCGCCAGCATCGTACCTCACCGCCTCCCTGAGACCTGTTATTTGCAGGAGGGAGGACAGAGGGGAGAACACACCCTCAGGCTTCAAAGAGGCCTCCAAGGGCGCCATTTTCATTCCGTCGAATTGTTTGACGGCGTCTGGAGCGATAGCCACGGGCCCGGCACTGTGCGCACTGTGTGGGTGACCCCTCCCCCTTGGCAGGAGCTCCAAGTACAATCCTCGTCCCTTTGGATCTGTTCTAGATGCCTTTGGGGCGGTGAGGATTTCTCTTTCAGTAAGCGGACAGAGGAGCTCCTTGGGAGGTGATGAGAAACGGAGAGGCGGGGGGCAATGAAGGGAGACGGCCGGTGCCGGCACGGGCTTCTAAGGCCAGGGTGGGACTGGGCGACCGGAGACAAAGCCCGAGGGGCAGCAGGGACCACAGGGCCACGGCCAGCCTTGCGCAGAGGGGCACGCTTATCTGTCCCAGCGTAGGAGCTGGGAGAGCAGCTGAGAGGGACTGGAAGGCGCCCAGTGTATGAGTGGGTCCCGGCGACGCCCCAGAGGCGACCCCAGCCTCTCAGCGGTCACTCCCAAGTCAGAGCAGAGCCAGACCTGGAACACTGTGGAGGCAGGACCAGCTAGAGAATCAGGCGTGTCCCGTGTGTGCCGCGTGACCCGTCTCCAAGCACAGCACACTTGCACCCGCATCTCAGAGCCTCCGTTACTTTCCTTTGTGAGTGGCCATCTGTCACAGCCGTGCCCTGTGCCAGGTGCTCCACAGCCCTCCTTTCTGAGCCATCCCATAAACCCTTAGGGCGTGTTGTTATCCCCATTTACAGACGGGAAAACTGAGACCCAGAGACCGGTCAGGTTAACAGAGGTTAACATCCCTAGTTAACCTGGCACATAGCGAAGCGCTCGGTCTCCCTAGTGCGCTGCACGGCTTTCCCCACTTTTGGACAAGAAAGCCCAGGCTTAGCACCCGTGAGGCAGTTTGCTCAGCCCCTCACAGCCCGTTTCCCTGGCTCCGCAGCCAGTGCTGGGAGCAGGAGCCCCAGATGGCCTGCACAGCCCTAAGGAACACTTAGGAACATTCAGAGGTGAGCACTCTGGAAAATCTGGCTCCTGATTCCAGATGCATCTGAACGCCCTGGAAGCTGCTGGAAGCACTTCCCTCTCGGGCCACCTGGCCCCTCATGGACAGAGGCGAACTGCACAGGCTCCCCTTCAGATTGCAGATGAAGGAGCTCACCCCAGAGACAGGTGTCACACGCCCCGGGGCTCACACCCCTCCAGGCATGACAGGAACTTGAACCCAGGTCCCCCGGCTCCTACACCACCCTCACTTAGCCCCAGGGAGGGAACATACCCACACCTCTACTTGTAGAAAAGTGGAAGATTCCTCTCTGATCACTTAGAGAGGTAAGCAGCTTGAACCCCCATCAGGGCATGATGTTCTTAAAACCGTCCGTAAACATCTGCTCCCTTGGTGCATGAGGCTGGGGGGTGGGGGTGGGTTCTCCTGAGAAACCATCAGGACGGGACTCCGAGCAGCAGACTGCAGCACAGAACCCAGGGCCAGCTTTCTGGGCAGCCGGGGTTCACAGGTCACATGACCGGAGGCGCTGGACAGCATGTGCCGGGTCTTTCCGGGGCCGGGGAGGCAGTCGGAGGCCCGTGAGCTGGGAGCCGGGACTCTAGCCTCCCTCTGCCTCCAGTCATCTCTGGGGTCCTAGGGAACCCTGTTTGCCCATCAGTAAGCATGAGGGGACTGGACAAACCAGTGTCCTACTCCTGAGATGCCCACCAGAGTCCCCAGCAGCCAGCAGGCTGGCTGACGGCCGCCTCCTCAGCTGTTCCGGGATGGCTCAGGCCACTCCCAGGCTCCTTGTGGAAGGGACGAGAAGCTATGCCCGGCGCATTCAGGACTAGGTCCCAGGGCTGTGTGGTTCATCCCACAGTGAGACACCCTCTTCTGCTTCCCGTCCCCCTCACCTGCCCCCACAGCACCAGCACCTGCACAGACATGCGCGCGCGTGCACACACACACACACACACACACACACGGCCTCCTGAGCTGGTAATAGGACTCCCCACTTGAAAGGGGCGTCCACATTGGAGAAGGCTGCCAGCAGACCAGTGACCCTGGCCTTCCCGCCACCCTCAGCCTGACCCTTTCTCACCCAGATGGGAGGCAGCGTTGAGAAGAGCCTCAGTGACTGGCTGATGAGACAAGGCATGGTGAGGAGAGGCTGGGCCGGCCCGGAGAACAGAGGCTGCCCCTGGCAGGGGTCCCGCCCGGGGCGGTGCTGTCGCAAGGGGCAGGACTGTCAGACCTACCGGAGAAGGCGGGGTGCTGCGGGTGCCCCACTCTGCTCCCGCTTCGTGGCCCCTCGGTGCCCACTTCCGGCCCTCAACTCGGAAGCAAGGCCCAGGTGGCCCCTCTGGCAGCTGGGAGGTGACCGGGGCTTGCTGGTTCTGGGCCAAGCGGAGAGGGACTGGTGCGCGTCGCCCAGAGCATTGCTGCTGCTGCCGGGACGTAGGCGCCTGCTCTGCCCTGGGCTCTCCTGCCACCACCGGGGTCCTCGGGTGCTGGGGACAGAGCTTGGGGACCCAACTGGCTGGGTTGGAGAAGGACTGTCTCTCTCGCCCTCTTTCCCAGAGTAACGAAATGGTCACTAGCCTTTCTTGAGCGTCTGCTCTGTGCCAGACTCCCGTGCGTCACCTCCCCTCCCCTCACAGCAGCCCGGGCAGTAGGGACCACGCTCCCTCCTGTACAGATGAGAAGAGCAAGGTCAGAGGCATAACCTGCCCAAGCCACACTGTATTAAAGGGCAGTCTCAGACTCCGTCCCCAAAGCCTCCGACTGGGTCCTCACTGTAGAAGGAAGCCCCCAGCCCCTGTGCAGGACCCTTGTGGCAGAGCCCATGTCTTTGTGGCCCACAGCGAAAGGCCCTGTGAGTCGTGGGAGATCCGTTCTTCCTCAGGGTCTGCTCCAGCTATGAGGAGTCCCTCCCTGCCCCCCCCCCAGCCTAGCCCCCAGCCCCGCTTCCCTCTTGCCCACAGCCTGGCACAGTGGGTAGAATTCTGGGTCCTTGGCGGCTGGGAGCCATCTTGAAGGGGACACCAGGATCTCAACCCCCCAGAAGGGGTGGGGTGTGTCCAACTGGCCCCATTTCAAAAACGAGGAGGGGACCTGGGTGAGGGTGACAGCCACAGGCCGCCCAGCCAGCGGGCCCCCAGCTGATGGGGCCTTCCTCCTTCACACCCAGTGCACTGCCCTCACTACCTCACTCCTGCCCTTCCTTCAGATCCCCGTCACCCAGGCCTGCCTCATGGAGGACATCGAGCAGTGGCTGTCCACAGACGTGGTAAGTCGGGGCCCGCCCAGCCCGAAAGCAGAGCCGCAGGCATGTTCCTCACCCACCTGACAGCGGGCTGGTGAGGAAGTGACCGGTCACGGGGGCACGGTGAGCAGCTGGTCAGGTGGGGAGTGTTCGTGTGGGACCCCTCCTGCCAGCCGTCCGCCCTCTCCCGGGCGCTCCCCTCGGAGGAGGCCCTGGGCACCGCACGCCTCATGGCTACTGGAGCTGAGCCTTCCGGGAGCACGCTGTCACAGTGGGTCCCAGGAGTCTCCGCCCTAGAGAGGAAAGGCAGGACAGGCTGACGGAAAGTGTGACAGAGTGGAGCCTTGCGCCTGCGCCAGCTCAGGGAGCCCTCGGTCCAGGCCCGCTCAGAAACCCCACCAGCAGCCCCGCCTTACAGACCAGGAGGCTCAGGAGCAGTGAGGGGTGCCGAGCCCAGGAGGCGGCAGCGGCCCAGGCCGTCTGCAGAGCCCAGCGGCCCCCAGTGAGCGGAAGGGGCGGCCAGCCTTGGCTCTCCTGTTCAGGGCTCCTCCCCCCACATCTGCCACCCCCTCCTTTGGGCACCAGGGACCAAGTGCCTGGACGCTCACAGGCCCAGAGGCTGCCATCCACCAACTGCCCAGACGGTGGTTCTGCCCGAGGTCACGTGCAGGTCCATGCCTGGTGGTGGCCCCCAACCTTAGCACACGTGGCCTCCATCTCTGGGGCCCTTCCCACCCCAAGGGCAGGTCTGTTCACCATCTGCACAGCAGAAGGAAAGGAACTGGTGTTTACTGGGGACCCGCTGGGCCCCACAGCCTGGGCTTGGCAGTCTGATATTCCATTGTAGCTTCCTGACGGCCAGTTCTACCAAGTGGGAAACTGAGGCTCAGAGCAGTCAGGTGACACCCAGGGCTGCAGCTAGGGAGAGGGTGGGGACTCGGTTCAGGTCCTGGGCCCACCTCGCCCACCTGCCCCCAGACAACTGTGGCTAACCTCCTCCTTCTGCTTTCTCAGGGGAATGACACCGAGGAGCCCAAGGGCGTCACCAGCGAAGGTAGTAGGCCCTGCCCTGCCCGCCCCTTCCCTGCCCTGTGGCCTTGGAACCCACCCCCACCCCACCCCCTCTCTCTTCTCTAGAATTTGACAAGTTCCTGGAAGAACGGGCCAAAGCAGCCGATCGGTTGCCCAACCTCCCCAGCCCCTCAGCCAAGGAGCCCCTGGGTCCCCCTCGTGCTGCTGCCCCTCGAAAGAAGACCCAGGAGAAAGATGAGGACATGCTGTTTGCATTATGAGTGTGGGGCCTGGCGCCTGCACCCTGAGCTCCCGCTGCTCCCCGGTCCCCGATGGGGGCCTCTTCCCTCCTTTGGTGTGAAAGCTGCTTTGAGGATGGCTTGTTACCCCCTTCTCTTCGCCTCAGAGACAGGCGGGGCCGGCTGCTGCTGGGCCTCGCTGCCTGGGCTGTGGGGAGACCGCTGGATGAACTGGGGTGACGGTCAGCTCTGCTTTGGGATCCCAGCCACTCCCGCCTCCTTTACCCCAAGCAACCACTACTTTGCTGAGAACCGGGAGGCCCGGCGACAGACAGCCTGTCCGCTTAGTGGCCCAGAAGTGACTCCTTGTCCTGGGGGATCCCCTCCCTGGGCCCTTCCCACACTGCCAGTCGAGGCCTGGCTGGAGGCCGGAGACGGCAGAAGCTTCCGTCCCAGCCTCCGGTCCGTTCCCCGGCACCTGCCCCGGGGGGCCCAAAGGCTCTGGCCAGCTGGTGTGGGCCGGGTACGTGGCCTGCTGCCCAGCCGCACGCTGCCCGGTATGAAGCTGCACGTGGTGGGGGTGAGGCCTCAGCAGCCCCGGGGCCCCCACCACCTCCACTGCCTTTCCCTGCATCCTGTTGGTCAGCACCGGGCGCTGGGCCCGCCCACCTGTTGATTGATCGTCTTGTACTGGGAGAGGTGCCTTTGTAGCCCCGATTAAAGGTAGAAAAGCACCCTGCCTGCAACGCTGTTGAGTCTCCAGGGGGAGTGCCTTGCTGGGTCACCAGAAACCGACTGCTCCGGGCTGCGCTGGGCTGGGCTGGGGCCGTCCCGGAGGAGGAAGACATCTGCGGCGCACCGCGTGCAGGCAGGGGCGGCCCCCTCACACCTCACAACCCGCGCTGCCCCACGGCTGCGGTGGCGCCCCACTGCCTTCCTGATGACAGCCCTCCGCCCCACGGGCACCTCCACACTTGCTGTCCCCCCCAGGCCAGCTCCCGCCCTGCCACACTGATCACACGGGGCCGTACGGGCGGCCCGTCTGAGGCCCGGGTGCCAGGCACCACACTAGGCTACACACGGGCTCAGGCAAAGTAAAGTGACCATCTGCTCCCCCAGGTGCTGAGTCTGTGACTCAGTGGGTCCCGCGAGCTGCCCCAGCCCTGAAGAAGTGGCACAGATGCTTATCAGGTGCTGGGCGCTTCCTCTTGCATCAGTGCATCATCCCCATTGTTCAGATGACACCACTGAGGCTCAGCCTGTGTGACTGGGCACAGAGCATGGAGAGCTGGACCACAAGGCACAGGCCCAGGGGCTTAGTGAGTGCTTACTCCACGGCGCCTTGAGAGCCCCAGGCCTTGGGGAATCACGTTTCCCAGCCTGGAACCTCCACACCAGGCTCCCCGACAGTCACTGCTTAAGGACTGCCGGAGCCTCGCAGTCCAGTCCTCGTGGTGGAAGGGGAGGGGCTGCTGTGTGGCAGGAGCCACTGACCGCCTGTAGGTCAACTCTAGAAGAGGGAAGAAGTCCGAACACGTGGGTCCAGGGGTGCCTGGACTGCTGAAGTGTGGCCTGGGTCTGTCCCTGAGCAGCCACCGGCTCCCGTCAGTGACCAGCAGGCAGCACCTGTGATCCAGGGGGGTGGCCTAGGGCTTGGCATGCAGGAGACCAGACCCTGCCAGCCCTCTGGGTGGGTTCGGGGACACTCCGAGGCTTGTCCATCCCCCAAGCAGGGGATGGGAGGGCGGGTCCATGGCCCTGGCCAAGCTCCAGAACTTGCAGATGAGCCAAGCCTGGAGGAAGGTGGCAGCTGCGGCTCACCTCTGACCTATTTCTCCAGCCTAAACCACCTCTCCTCGTTGGGGGGGGGGGGGCAGGCAGCCATCCCACTGTCCCACCATCTGGCCAGATGGCGTTGGTGAGTTAGAGGCACCCTGAGCCCTCGCCCACCACTCATACAGGCTCCACTGTAGCCCAAAGCCAAGCCTCCCTCTTGCCCTGCACCCCCACCCCGACCCCCACGTATGAGCAGCACATTAGCTCAGGTGATGGGAAGGCTCCGGTTTTAACCAGTGTGAAGAGTCTCCTGCACCTGCCTAGTCTCTTGGCCGGTGACCCCCAGGCCAAGGTGTGGAGCCCTGCCAGCGCCCCCCAGGCTGCTCCTGCTCCACCCCGGGAAGAAGCCAGAGTCCGTGTACCATGCTGTCACTTGGCCACTTCTGCTCCCTGCCTCCACTCGGGCATTAGCAGCACCCCCCCCCCATCTTATCTGCCTTATCACACGGGGGTGGCCAAGTGTGGAGGACTTTGGTCCTCCCCTCTTCTTGGGCTGTTCCTTGCTGTTGCTGCTGGCGACAGTGCAGCAGCCGCCCACACCCACCGCCCCCACCCCCCCGTCCCAGATCGGGAGCAGATGAATGTTGCTCGGGCTGCTCGGTTCCACAGGATGGATGAAGCTGGGTAAAGTGCCCGAGGCTTGGGACCATCGTTTTCATAATAAGAACCTTCTTCTGACCCCTGCCTGGCTGCGATGGCAGCATCTGACGGTCAGGCAGCAGGACTGTGGCAACACTAGACTGTCGCCCCCGACCCCTGGCTTGGCTGGACTGCTGACGCACACACGCTCTCACACATGCACACACCCGCTCACATGGTGGGGCACACTGTCCCGGTGAACCCCGAAAGGCGTACCACCTACTCACAATGGTACTGTAGACTTCCGTCCCCTGGCCTGACCTCGTGCTCCCCCCCTCCCCTGCAGCCCCTCAGCTCTCGCAATGTCTGTCCCCCCTCCCCACCTCATTCAGCGGAGCCCCTGGCCCGGGCCTCTCCACAGTTCACGGTAGCCCTGTGTGGTCAAAGGTTTTGATCCCTGCTTACAGGTGGGGAAACTGAGGCCTGGAGAAGCAAGGACTTGCCTAGTCCATAATGGAAGGGTGGGAGCTAGTCCCCAGTGGGGAATGGTGATTTTACCAGGATCCAAGCCCAGGGAACCTTCTGTGGAAGTCTCCAGGGGCTCGTGGTCCTGCGAACCTGAGCGGCCGAGTTGCTTACTCCTTCCCGTGTATGGTACCCCCTGAGCTCCAGCTGCACCCCAGGCGTGGGTCTCAGAGCTGAGAGTACAGAGCTGAAGGCGGCCAAGTGCCAGTCCACTCGGCAGGAAAGGGGAGCAGCAAAGACATAAACCCAAGAAGTGCCACCTGCGGCGCCTGGGTGGCTTAGTCGGTTGAGCATCCGACTTTTGCTTAGGTCATGATCTCACGGTTCGTGGGTTCGAACCCTGCGTCAGGCTCTGTGCTGACTGCCAGCTCAGAGCCTGGAGCCTATTTCAGAGCTGTGTCTCCCTCTCTCTCTGACCCTCCCCTGCTCACGCTGTCTCTCTCTCTCTCCTAGAAATAAAAATATTAAAAAAAAAAAAAAAGAAGGAAGAGTCTTCCTTCTTAAAAAAAAAAAAAAAAAAGAAGTGCCACCTGCTTGGAGAAGAAGGGAACGGATGGCCTGATGGGGCTGTTACAGGGCCAGAGCGGAGCGGTGGGGTGGGGCAGTGGCCTGGCCAGGCAGGAAGGCCACCTGGCTTCCCCTGGAGGGGGCAGCACTGGGGAACCCCTCCCAGAAGCCCCTCTTCCCAGAGACTCTGGCTGGGGCTGGGGTGGAGGAGGAGGCCCTGGTGTGAGCCACTGGCACTGGCCGGGCTGGGGATCTCTGGCAGCGGACTGTGTCCTGGGCAGTCACTCAGCAGCGGCAGGAGGTCACTGCGCCCCACATAAAAGAGGACCCGCTGCCAGTGGGGGCCGTGGGACAAAATGAATGCGGCACCAGCAGCTCCTGCTGCGCCCGGCTGCCTCAGTAGGTGGTGGCACCAGGCCAGGGACACAGGCAGGTTGAGTGGAGCCCAGCCCATGGGCAGGGGAAGGGGCACCTAGGGGGCAGCCCCTGGGGGCTGTGGGATGCACCAGAGCTGCCCGGCATGGCCTCCACCCCTGCATCTCCTCCTGGCTTCCCTGGGCCACCAGAACCCCACCCTGAGCCTGGACACTGACCGCCCTCCACCCCCAGCCACCGATCCCTCACCGCAGTGTCAGCATCCAACCTCTCCAACTGTCCTAACAGCAAATCGTGGCCTGGCCACTTCTGAGCTGTGTGACCCCAGGCAAATTATTAACCTCTCTGTGCCTCCGTTCTCTCACTTGTAAAATGGACTGGACCAGCTGCTCCTTCATAGGGTCGTGGTAAGGACTAACTGCGAGGATGAGTAGCACAGCACCTGTCGAGAAGATGCTCCCCACGTGCTGCCACGGATGGTACCCCTTCCATCCAGATCAGCCTCTGCGGCCGACACCCGGCCAGGGGCACCGCTCCTCTGATTCCGGGGTAATTGCAGGGACCGCAGCCCTCTAGGGTGCCCGCTGCGTCTAGGACGGTGCCTTTGTGCCAGACTCTGCTAGGCCCGCGCTGCTGCCCCCGGGGTCCTGGGTGCAAGGCTGACGGTGAACATCTGCAGAGCCCCTCCTTCCCCCTCCGCTCAGAATGGCACTGGCTCGGGTCAGCGTCCCAGGGCGGCCACCAGAGGGCAGCAGCGCGGCATGCACCGGGCCATCACCGCCCAGGCGGCCACCTCTCCCCGGCTGACCCAGCCACGGTCCTCTCTGCCCTCGCACGGGGGTCCTTGTCCCCCAGTCCAAACGCCGCAAACTCCCTTGCCCTCTGCATCCCCACCCCCACCCCACGCTGACCGGTGCGGAGCTGGGAGCTCCAGTCGGAAGGACTGTGAGTCCTTCCATTCCCTCCGATTCACCGGGTTACGGGGAAGATTCGAGGAGACGAGGGGGGCGGGGGCAGCAAATCAGCCCCGTCCGTCCCCTCGGAGCCCGCAGAAGCTGCCAGCGCCTCCCAGGAAGCCCGGGACAGGCTCATCCGCGCGGGCGCCGCGCCCTCGCTTCCCCGCAGACGCGACGTGCCCCGTGCGTGCCTGCTTCTGCCTGTACCAGCCGGAGAGCTCGCGTCCACACCGGCGGCTCCAACCAGGTCGGCCATGCGGGACCGACCCTCCTGCTGCTCCCCACCTACTGCCCCCTTCAGCAGAGCGGGACCTGCCCCCCACCCCCTTACCCTGCGGGGAGGGACCCCCCACCCCCCACAGCCCCCACTGCCCGGGCCGCAGATGTCCTCTCCTTGCTCGGGTGGTCACATCAGGCCTGGACGGAACACCAGAATCAACCCCCCAACCCACTCAGACCCTCGCCCCCTCACCCTGCGCAGGCTCCAGCACCCCCCTCTGGCCCGGCCCCGCCCCCCGGCAGCCCACCCCCACCTCCTCCTCCCCGGTGGGCTGCCTCCCGCCCTGCTCGGCCCCACCCCCACCTAGCCGCTTTACCCCCACTGTTGAGGACAGGAGCAGATGGAGAATAGAAGAGGTTTTTTTTTTTTTAATTTTTTTTTTAATGTTTTATTTATTTCTGAGAAAGAGACAGGCAGCGTGAGCAGGGGAGGGTTAGAGAGAGAGGGAGTCACAGACTGAAACAGGCTCCAGGCTCTGAGCTGGCAGTCAGCACAGAGCCCGACGCGGGGCTCGAACCCACGGACCGCGAGATCATGCCCTGAGCCGAAGTCGGACGCTTAACCGACTGAGCTGCCCAGGCGCCCCGGAGAACAGAAGAGGTTTGAGTCTAAGAAGGACCATCAGAGTAAGCCTCTCTTCCATCCGAACTTCTGTGCAGTTCCAGACTACGCCGCC